TAATGGTCATCATCGAATTAATAATAGCTATCTACGTAACTCGTTGCACATTTGCATAAGAAATAGTTGCATATATTCATACACACACACACACACATACAATAGAAAAGATCGATCAAAAAAACAGAACAAGAAAAAGAAACGGTAAGGTCATCATTATAAAACAGTAAATTGTTGTTAGTCATTTCTTATCAAGGTCAAATAGTTTTTGCAGTATTGAACTTTTTTATTTTGTTTTGACCATTAATAACAACAAATAATTGTTATAAATTCTTTAAAGGTATTTTATAACACTTTTTTTTTTTAGAATTTATGATCAAAGATTAATTTCTAATTATTAGTTTTATTACTTCTAGTACCGTGAAAATTCGAATTAATCCTACCGAACCGAACAGTTGAAGAGCAGTGCTATTGTGAGAGTTTCTTTTCATAAAATCTTCAAATTTTTCACTTTCAACATTATAAAAACTCTAATATTATCGGAACGTTGTGTTAAGAATGATACTAAGGTAACTAACAATATGTTAAAAAGAAGATTGAAAACTTGTTTTTTTGTAATAAATGCTGCTGTATTGGAGTGAAATCTTCAAGATAGAACAAAAGATTGCATTTTTAATATAGAGAGATATGTATGTACGTATATGTAAACAAGACAACGAGGTAAGATAAGAAGTATATGGATATGATTAGACATCACTAATTTTTATTTTACGATCTACGAGATAGTGACACTTAATATTTCTGTATTTTTTAGTCTTCTTTTTTTTCTTTTTCCCTTCACTATACCCGGTGTATATATGTTAATCTTCTATAATCACACATCTAATAGGCTAGCTGCTGAGTGTCTCTATTACCAACAATATAAAATATATGGAAAAAATACCAAGAATAAAAGTCTCGAATCTTATAGATATTGTGTATAGAAATGCTTCTTTCTCTTATTGGTTTTTTTTGTCTAACGAAAATTTTCATTCTTTTTTTCGGCCATTTGCACACGTTCAAGAACTATAGTGAAAAATGAGACTAATGTTTGAATTCTCACAACAATATATGATGGAAAAAAAGAAAGAATAAATGTCCCTATCTTTTCTCCTTTTTTTTAAGCGGACCCGCCCATGGACTCTTAGTTCTTCGATTTTTCTTATGTAAAATATATAGATAATGCATCGGCATATATATATATATATATATATAAATACCAGTAGTTTTTTCCTTTAACAAAAAATATTTTTTATTGCCATATAAATCGTGTGTATGGCGGACACATCATGTCCAAAAGAGAGATGATTGCATGTCGAACTTACGTTAGAGAGACTATATAATATATACATATATATATATAATAAATATATATAATATATAATCTAATACGAAGGACAAGGTTGTTCTTAGATGAGACAAGAGCGAAAGTGTGTATATACGTACGACAATAGTATGAGTTGAACGGTGCATTATTTTTTGTTCTCTTTCCTTTTTTTCCCTATATGTTTCTTATAGTTTATCATCATTTGCTATTTTTGTCTCTCTTTATACCTATTGTTCTCTATACCGACTTCGGTACCTTTGATAAGATAGATGAAGACACTCATACACAAAAAGAGAACGTACAATCGGTCAAAAAGTGGTCGTACGATAATACTATTATCTTTTCATTCAAACAAATTCAAAGAATTTTATTTTTACCATTCTAGTGGATAATGATCAACTACAGATTTTAATCTGAAGTTCTGCATAGTTAGATATACACCAGTTGCAGTTAGCTGTAACTGCAAAACTGAAGGCAGCGTGCACGTGTGACGACCGATAGTTTGGCTGTTAGCGTGTTCTTGAAAGACAAGGTAGACTATCAAATCAAAAGCTAACATTCTTTTGTTTTAGGAGCAAGACTCATTCGTCAGACTAGTGAAATTAGTTTTTTTACTACATACATTGTGACTGCGATAATGTTTTTAATGTTGCTAATACCCCTTTTTTGATGTGCAGAGAAACACTAAGTCTGAAAACTCCAGATGTTCGGTTAAATTCTACTTGAAATTAAGATAAAATGTAGCAATACATAGCGTAATGTCAGGACGAAGCGCTTAGGATTGGAGAGCGGGGGTCGACGTTTTTTTTTTAGAGGAAATCGCTACCGAAATCGTACAGAACGCAAAAGCAATTTTCAGGATGACTTCCCTCCCCACACACGTCGCTGGTCGGGATATCTCGGCGTAATATTATTAACTTGAAAGTGGTTCTGTTCTCATATTGATTCTCTTGATAAATCCCACTAAAGGTGTGTTTATATGTTAGTTGCAACAAAGTTTATACTCTCTATACTTATCAAGGATGAAAAGTATGCTACAATGATTTATGTATATTCTTGCGCTGTCAAATAAAATAAGATTTCGTTAAACAACAAGTACTGATATATTTGAAGCAAAACTAAAATTCAAAGACGTTCGACAATTATGAGCAGTTTCGATTATCAAATGTACCAGTTATACAGTTTGCAGTTACAGTTAACCGTGCCTATTGCATACCAACTGCATAGATTCAAAAGAATATTTTTAAACCTGATCATCTTTCAAAACCGATCAAATAGTCATAAAATCGCGTATTTTTTGATTATTCAGACTTCCTCCGCCCAGATGAAAGACTACATTTTCAACTGGTTGTTGACAACATACTTTAAAAAAATGATGCATCCTAACGTAAAAATAACTTGGTATATAAAGTTAAAGAGTGGATGGTTTAAATAAAAACGGATCCAACTTTTAATTTTGTTCTGAGCTCGATTGACTTCGAGTACAATGTCCATAAAGCTGTTTTAATGTATAGAAGCACAATTCTGTATATGTTTATTGATTGATAGTCACACAAGGATTTACATAGTTTTGCTTGGATTTGGTTCTGATATTTATACTCATGTCAGAACTTCTTACATTTACTCAACACAGCTGATAAAAAGCTTATCGTTCCGAAGCATTTTCATCCTTAATTAAGAAAGCATAGTTTTTATTTTTATTTTCTACCATTCTATCGATCTTTCTGGAATCTTCCCCTTGTTTTCTTAGGTTAGTAAAGTTGGAGCACAAACATGATCGATATTCAAGCGAGTTTGTATCTGTCTCTGACTTCGTCTATTCAGGATGATGTTTTCAAGCAACATACTTTTTAAGGAGTACTATGGTTGAAAGGAATACGAAACAGAATAATTAATTGTGACATAAATTTTAAAACCGCTTCAAATAAAAATCTGTCATTGATTATACGCAAAGCGTAGATATGATCTACTGGAATGGTAAAAATAAAATTCTTTGAATTTCTTAAAACGAAAAATATCATTATATGACTACTTTTTGAACAATGGCCTCTCGATAATAGCTAACAGTATAATGGAAATTATCCTATGTGAGGGAACGGCCATAGTTAGAAAAAATCGTATGTATAGAGACTGTTTTGGAGCAATTTTTAAATGTAAAAATCAGAAACTTATGATAAAAGACAACGACCATTACTGTCTTCTATTTTGCGAGCTATTGGTCTAATTTATATAATTAAATCACGTAGCTATGTGATAGACTTTCTTTCTCGCATGAAGAGAAGACTGTTTTAACATTTCGATAGTGAATGAGAAAAAGTTATTTTGACGAGCGTGCGTAAGAAGGACAATAATTTGTTATTTTTATTCGAAAGAGATTTAATAATGTGCTGCTCTTCTTCTTCTTTTTCATGTTGTTGTTGTCGAATATTGCTCTACTATATTTATATTACGGATTGTCTGAGTCCTGTTATCGATTAAAATCGAAAAAAAAAGAGGAGCATGTATTATCAACACATTTTTTATTCCTGATACGTACAGATGCTAAATTTGCGCAACATGTATAGTATACAGAAATAACAATAAATAGGAAGAAGAAAAAATACACATCGAGAGAGAAATGATAGGAAAAAACGGCACTACGTATACTTGTCTGATCTCATCACCATTCATAGAAGAGAAGTGTGAGTAAAATGTTAATTAAGAAGATTTCCTTCAGAAATCTTTTTTCTCAACCGTATATTCGTTCTTAACCAAACTTTCAAAGAATATAGGGTATTATATTTAGTTTGTAGGATATGAAGCCTATTTCAGCCCTGCATACTGCTGTAGTCAATACTCCTGAGAATTGCCAGATGGATCCTCAGAGACTCCGGTGCATGTCTGCCACGGTTTACATAAATTAGAATCAAGTGTTCGATTCTTATTTACAACAGGTTTATTTAACATTCGGATTCTTCGCTCTATTTCCAATAAGTGAAATCTCTAAGAACATTGTAAATTCCAAATCTGAAATGACAGTTCTGGGCACTTATCTTCGGTAGCGATTTTGAGAAATTGTCTCGATCAAGAGTTATGTTTTGATCATATCTTTCAAATAAAGAAAACAACTATTAGTTTATGCTGAGTGATCTGGGAAGGGTAGGAAAAATGCTCAGCAGCACTAACGTCAAATCTTCCTATTGAATGTATTAATGTAATCACTGGTGTAATTTAGAGTTTGTAAGTTAGAAAAATGATCATAACTTTCTAAGACGAAGTTGTACATGTTGACGCTTATATTCACTAGAAGAGTCTACTCTACAGATCTACGTATTTTAAATCAAGTCTAGTTAAATATGAAATGAGAAAAATAAAAGGTTTGCAATAATCCTGTAAGGTGTTTCTTAAAATCTAAGATAACCACTTGTAGGGTGGTAGCTGATATACATTCTAGAACAAGTGAGTTTAAGTTACACGTTGATATATACATAACATTATTTAATTTAAAGAATAGTGTGATTATCTAAGGGAATCTTCGATGAATATCAATTGACCATATGCGTTTTTTAAAATATCGTCTACACCTTGTTTTAACACAACATATCTAAAGAAAATATAAAGGTCAATGATGGCTTTTTTTTGTGCATATATTTACTTTTCAAAATGATGTTATATATAATATGTAATTTTTTCTTCTAGGTGATAAAAGACTGCAATGCTCAACAGCGGTCACTATCCAAATCAATGTGAAATAAATAATAGATCTCGATATTCTTCTGCTGAAAATAATGATATTGATGTTAACTTAGATCATGGAAAACAATATAAAACAAAAGTATCTATGCAACAACATGATGATTCATTAATAACTTGTTCAAATGATAATCGTCTTAAATTTGTTGACATATTAGTATGTGGGTCATGTCAACAAGATTTTCAATTAAGCGATATTGTACAATTTATTCAACATAAAATGCGTTGTGGAAATAAAGAAAATATTCCATGTTTGATGCAATGTCATTCGAGTCATCAGAGCGATGAAGATAACGATATCGATGAACAAGAAGATGTAGATAATTCTAAAATGAATGAATTTACTAATAATTATCAAAAAAAATTTGATAAATCATCGTGTAATAAAATATTAGTTGATGCAAGTGCAAATACATTAAATACAGCAAGTACGTTCATTTTAGTTCAATTAAACTTTCGAGAAAATATCCTTCATAGGAAAAAATAGAATATAAAAAGGTTATCAGAAAATTTATTCCTTTTATTCCTAGTTGAGCCATACAATTTTGAGTGTAGTCAATGTGGTGATGTATATAGTACAGCTTGGTTTCTTATCCAGCATTATCAAAAAACACATCAAACAAAAATATATAATAGTTGTTTAAATGGTACATCATCTACAATTAATACCAAACAACAAAGAAATCTTCAATCGACAAATTCTCCTCTTGATATTGATATCGTATTATTAGCTGCAGCGGCGGCTAATTCACTGGCCACTACTCTTGGAACAAAAACAACAACAACAACAACAACTAATAATGAAAATAATCATCTATTATCATCTCTTCCTAGTCATCATTCTAATCGTTCATCTAATACACCGCCATCTTCATCCACATTTGCTTCAAAACAATTAATTGTTGCTGCACAAATTGCGGCTCGTACTCAAAGCATTTTACTCGAACAACAACAACAACACCGTAATTCATTATCAATTTTAACAAGTGATAATAATTCTTCATGTCAGATTAGCACTGAATGTTATTCAACTGGATCAAAATCGAATACATTTTTATCATCAACAAGTTCAATATGCTCGTCGTCGCCTACAAATATTGATCAAGAACAAGACGCAAATGTATTGAACAAACGTTCAACATCTGATAATTGTTTTAAAACCAACAATGAAGAAGATCATTTTACAACATCACCATCGAAAATCGACTATTTCTTAACACCAAAATCAATTGATAAAGAAACAGGAAAAGAGAGTCAGGTAAGTCGTTTTATTTGCTTAACTAAAGCTAAGTACTTTATTATAAATCTATTTTCTAGTATCAACAAAAAATAAAATCCAGAAAACATAATCATAATACGCCAACAATAACAGCACATGATTTAACGAACCATTCAAGTAAGAAATTTTTATTTTTATTCACTCATTTTAATGAAGAGAATAATTCTCAATCAAAAAAGCATTTCCTTATGGTGAAACCTGCTTGATAACTTCACATGATATTTATCTTTAAGATGAAAAATCTCAGTTTTCTGAAAATGTTCAACGACATCAAAAACGTCGTCGTCCGACTGATTCTGGAAACAGTCATGATAATGAACAAAAACAATGTGTACATCATAAAACGCATCCGTGTCACTATCAATCATCAGATATTAATTGTGATAATCAAAAATTATCTTTAAATTTATCTGATAACAGTAAATCACACACACGTCGAGAATCGTTATCATCAATACAGTCAATTTGTATATCGTCTGAAGATGAAACTTGTTTTCGATTACATGAAACTGATATTGAACATAAAAATCTTAACAACAATAAATCAATGTGTTCAAATTGCGATGATGAACAAATTGAAAACAATGATGAATCGATAAGAAATTATACTCATACTAATGAACAGCCAACATCAACGACAATTTTGGATAGTTTACAACGAAGAAAACATCGGCGAAAACCTCCACGTTTAAAACAGCAAACTGAAACAATAACCAAAAAAACAAATGAAAACTGTCCAATGAACAAAAATGTATTAAGTATTTCGATTAAAACTGAACCATATGATGTAGATGATGATAGCGAACAGCAACAAATGAATAAAAAATCGAAACATTTACTCACAACTGATACACTATTATCTGCACAAGACGAAAAATTTAATAATTTATCGTCTTTGTCATCTGAATCACCATTAAATACTACAGCAGCAACAGTACCATCATTATCAACTACTTCACCATCGAGTCCTTCATATTATTGGCTTCATGAAGCATTTCGAACATTATTACCAACATCTGCCGGAAATCAACCTATTTATCCTAGTTTTTCGGATACAACAGCACCTAAAAAATCACCATATGGAAGTATTTCAGCGTCACATCTAGGTGAGTTAAAATTGATGATAGTTTATTTTTATAAGAGAACTGAACTTTAAAACATCAAAAAATGTCGTATGCAAACTAAATGAAAACTATATCACTGGAGTATTTGTCGGTTCTATTTATCATTTGTATTTTTGTTGTTGGGTCTAGGTCAGTATGGCTTATTATCCACACCAAATGGTACGCTTTCGTCAAATACTCCGAATGGTTCATTATTATCATCCAGTTCATATTTGTCGACGATCACAAATCATAATATCTCACCAATAAATTCATCGTCTACCTCTTTTAGCGGTGGTAACAACAATCACAATCGTAAAGAAAGAAATTTAACAACAACGTCGTCAACACCCACCACGAGTACTTGTACTAGTCCACTTTTGTCCAATTGTAATTCAAATGGCGCTGCAACACCGAATAGTGGTATTAAAGGTGGAGATGTGACACCAACATCTTTATTAATAACTGGTTCAAATTCATCATTACAACAGCAAAGGATAAAACGAGAGCGACGCAATGATACATGGTTAGTATGGATGACTTCGTTAATTAACTTAATCTTTATTCTTCTAGAAAGATAATTTTCGTTATAGTAATTTAAAACTTGATCTCTCAAAAGATTTACTTAATTTTTATACTTGAACACATAAACCCAGTTTTGCAGTAAACTTGATAGTATCTAATTTAACGCATTATTTCATTTTAGCGAATTTTGTGGAAAAGTGTTTAAAAATTGTAGTAATCTCACTGTACATCGTCGCTCTCATACAGGTAAACATACATCATGTTTGATTTCTTCTACCATCTGAGTACTATCGGTTCTATTTATTTATTGTAGGAGAAAAACCATACAAATGGTATGTGTCCTTTGAATAATTATATCATGGAAAAATGATCTATAAATTCCTTTTTCTCTTTCTTTAGTGATTTATGCAATTATGCGTGTGCTCAATCATCAAAATTAACGGTAAATAGGCTTATAATTGAGACTAAAATGCTGGGATGGGACAGTATTAGATATTATTATTTTTTATTTTAGCGTCATATGAAAACTCATGGCCGTGGTGGTACCGAAGCATTTCATTGTCGCTATTGTACAATGCCATTTTCTGTTGCTAGTACATTAGAAAAACACATGAGACGATGTGATAAAAATCCACAAATATTAGCAGTTTTTAAACAACAAGCAGCAGAAAAAGCTGCTAATAGTGGTTATTTATCACAAGTTGATATATTATCAACAGAAACAACAGAAAATCGAGCCTCATTGATGAATGATCAAATTAAGAGTGAATTTTGCATTGATACATCAACAATGAGCGAAGATAACGGTGATGAAGAAGATGAAGAGGAAATAATAGAAGACGGTAACAATAATCATCAATTGAATGAAGAGTCATAAGATTGTCTCTTTATTGTCTGTTCGATTTTATCCTGCTCTCACTGAGTGCTGAACAAATAGCTTTAGAATGCATTATTTCTTTATTTTGTTAGGTGTCCAAACCTTTTTCAGATATTTTGTTTATCTTTTAATTTTAACGTAGAAGAATAAAAAGTTGGCACATGTATAGATCTAAATTATGCATACATTATATATTTTTTGGTTTTTTCTTCATTTATTTCGGGTTATTGTTTCTATTTTTGTGATTCGTTTTTTCTTCTCCCCGGTTGGATTTTTTTTGTTGCTGTTGTGTGTATGTATGTATTATTTCGGCTAAACAAAGAACAGTTTCTCTCTACGGTTGACTAACACCGAACGGTTGATCTGCTTTTCTTTTATTTTCTCTGACAAATGATCTCTCTTTTAACTTTCGACATTTTGTTTGTTGTTCTTTTTTTCGTTGTTTTCTATGATCTTAGAGTCAAGTTTAAAAACAAGAATTTTATTTTAGTTAAGAAGTCGTAATATGTAGAATCATCCAGGGTCTATCTTTCTACTCACATACATAGGTTTTTGTTTATTTCTGTCTATTTTTGAGGAAGGTGTGTAGAGAGAGAATGAATTACGACAAATTAGCGATAAATCCCGTTGTTGTTGTTGCTATCATCGTAATAATAGTTTGAAACTGTGATTTTAGTCGTTGTCGTCTGTGTTTATTTAATTTATTTTTTACAAAGCGAGGAATTTGAACAGTGACAAATATGAATTTGTGTTTCTTCTCTCTTTATTTGTAATTTGCACCTTATTTTAATCAATAGAGACAGAAAAATAATTAGATTGCTTGCCCTAATATGTTTTTTTAAATATATTACGTTTTTGAACAGTTTAATTCAGTGTTAATTTTCTTTTCTTTTTTTTTGAGTATCTGTGTTTATTTGTATTTTCTAATTTTTCGTTTTTATTTTTGTCCGACGTATAAAAAGAAAATCAAGAATCTATTTTACTAGAATTTCTATCAATCTCAATTATTTTACAGGGTGTTTAAAAAATCTAATGAATTTGTCGAGGTAATTGATACTATCGTTTCAACTGTTTTTTTCTTGATCGATCACAAAAAATATGCGGGATGTGTCAGTTTGAAAGGAGTTTTCAAGATGGATATGGTTGGTAAATTGAAAATCGATTAAGAAAAGTACTAAATTAAAAAAACGTCTTTAAATACACTAGATAAATAGTCGTTTTTATCGTATACATTTCATTAGTACAAAAAAATGAGTCGAATAATGTCTTTTTCTCATCAAGTCTTAATACGATGGCACATATTCCATCAATGTTTTCCCATTCCGCTCTTCTTATACCTCTGTCACTTAATTGAAACTTATTTTTTCTACGGTTTTCTTTGATGGATCTTACCAATTAGTGTACAGATGAATAATCCATCGCTTTTAAAATACTTTTCATGTTTCACGATGAAAGATAATGACTTCGAACAGTATATCGAGTTCGGCGGCTTCTTCTTTGACAAAGAATCAACCGATCACACCATTTCAACAGATTGTGGCTTCAGGAAGTGGAGCAGTTTTAACAGCATGTTTTATGACGTATGTAAATTTGATTCGACATAAATGTCATATAAAACTTATATTATTTATATTTTTCTTTTCATTAGACCGTTTGATGTTGTGAAAGTCAGATTACAATCGCAAACATCGAATGCCGTTCGACAAATACTGACAAAATCCCGTCATTCTCCACAACCAACATCAGCTGCATCATCGAAAACAACATGCCGACATTATTTAACAAAACAAGTTCACTATAACGGTACATATGATACATTTATTAAAATTATTCGTTCAGAGGGACCAATCTCTTTATGGAGTGGTTTGACGCCGGCACTTTGTGTCAGTATACCAACTGTTGTTATCTATTTTACATCTTATATGAAAGCAAAAGAATTACTTGGCTATAATGAAAGTAAACCGAATCCTATTCTTCCTGTCATAGCTGGTGCTTGTTCTCGAATCGTTGCCGTTACAAGTGTGTCGCCATTTGAATTAATTCGTACAAAAGTACAATCGGAAAAAGTTCTATTTAAACAAATTTATCGTATTATATCAACATCCGTTTCTGAAGAGGGCGTGAAAGTACTATGGAAAGGATTGCTGCCGACAATTTGGCGTGATATTCCATTTTCCATGATTTATTGGTTTAACTATGAATCATTAAGGGGTAAAATTACATACGAAACTGTTGTAGATGATTTTAAAACTATTTTACTTTTTTTTAGCTTATCTAGTACGTTCTGGTATCAAAGTGGACTCTTATTGGACGTTTGCATGCGGTGTACTGGCTGGAAGTGTTGCAGCAACAATCACAACACCTTTCGATGTTGTTAAAACATACAGACAAATTGACTTAGGACGTAATAATAAAACATATCCAAATGTTTGTATCGAATGTAGAACTGAAGAACCAGTGATACGATCGATAACAACTGCAGTAACTAACAATACAGCTACTTCATCGCGAACAGTCGATATTCTTATTCGAATAGTCAAAGTAGAAGGTTTCAAAGCTCTCTGGAGTGGTAAGTAGTAGAAAATCAACACATTCTTTTTAGTTAACATTATTCACATCTTGTTAAACCATGTTTATCAGACTAGTAGAAAGATCGTCAACTAAACATGTTTCACCGCGCAGTTTTTGTTGGTTATTCACTATTAATTAACAGTTCTATTCTGCTGAGCAAGTAATGTCGGGCCCAAATCTCACGATGAGCATTTTCTTTTCATTTTTCTTTTTTTGCACGTGTATTTTATTTTTCGTTAAAAAGTTTTACTCTTCCACGATCATCGGTTAATCGCATTAATATCCCGATGATATTTTGATCTAAGCAGTCTTTGTCTACCAGTACCCGCTAATAGAGCCTGAAGAGTAATTAGATTAAGTTGAAGTTCACATTTCAAAAAATCATGGAAAATATTGATATAAAAAAATAGACATGTAATGACTGCAAAATTACAGTGATAACAAACTACGCGGTATTTGTATGACGATTTTACAGCAAACCATGGTTGATTTGTAGTGTTTTGACGAATTTTAGTTGATTATCGATTTTCGACAAAAACTTCTGCTTCTTTTTAGGTTTACTCCCACGTATAATGAAGGTGGCACCAGCATGCGCTATTATGATTACCAGTTTTGAAAGTTTACGTTTATTTTTTCAGAATTCAAATTCTAGTTAATTAAATTTTTTTGTGTTGTTGTACAGTGAATTGTTTTGTTATTAAAGATACTGTGATGATTTATATGTAAATTGATACTAGTTTTTCCATTCTTATAAACTTAAAAATATCTGCTGAGGATGATTTTTGCAATAGATTTGGGTAAGTTATTGTACCATGACGGTTGGAACTGTCTCGCCACTTTGAGATTGCGAGTAAGTTGGAAGCCGCTAATTGCCTGGATTCTATATCCTATGATTCAAATGTATAGTTCGTCTGTAATCTTCGTCAAACACATCCTAAGCAAAGTTGAAGTTGAAATGTAACCTAAAGTGTCGAGTGTCCAGAAAAAAGATGAAACCGAACTGTTTATTTACAAAAAAAGAGTGTTTAGAGAGATGAGAAAAGATAAAATTATAAATTAGACGTTCAAACACTTTAGAAACAACAGGAAGAAGTGAAACAGGGCGATAGTTAGAAATATCGGCAAGAGCGCCTTTTTTACGAACATGCCTGTAACGAAATAAAGGTATTAAAAGGACCAGAATTTATTTTATTTATTTGCTACTACCCCGTATGTCAAACAAAAAAGATGTGATTTGTCGTTAGAAAAAGTAATGACGCCTAAATAATTATTTTCCTTGTACACATAAAAGTTTATCAGAAGATAGTTTATGTTTTGTGAGCCTTAAGCCGAGGAGCCCAGTGAACAGCTGGTATCTGAAAAATGTCTCAAATCGAATTGTCGGCAAGGCTGCGACTTGAGTTGGTGCTAAGACCGTTGCTGAGTGACGTACACGTCATTATACATAATAAACAATGAAAAAACAGACAAAGATATGTATTTCCTAAGAGTCTTAGGAAATACATATCTACATACATCGTCTTAGGCTAAGACGGGTTCGAACCTACAGTAGTACGTAGAAACAAAATCGTTAATTAATCGCGATTAATCGCTAAAATCATGTAAAAATCACCAAAAGATCGACCATTAATCGCGATTAATTGTATGATTTTTCAAGATTAATTGCCGATTTTTAGTACATGGGTGGTAACACACGCTAGACCGTGCACATATTGAATATACATGCAGAAAGAAGAAAAAACGTGCAATGTATTAAAATGAAAGATTTGCTTTCGCTTGTAGTTTCTCTTATAACTATTATTATCACCTAAAAATTCGACTACTAAAAAACGGAATAGTATTATGGAGAGGCAGCATGGCATTCTATAGAATAAAGGTATTCCGGAATGGGTACACTCGCCTTATAGTGCTTTTCCCTCTTGATCCATAAGATGCTCTGGTTCCTAGTCATTTGAACCACTGTCAAGAGCTGGAATCGGCCCGATAAACTGGTACCGGGCCGGTTGAAACTTTTGAAACATCTGCTGTTTTTACTCGATTTTTCGTCAAAAAACTAAAATTTCACGTCTTTTTCAGTCAGAATAAATAAGACAATGCTCAAGACATATTATTTTCATCACTTGTTTTAAGGTTAAATGTTATAGACTCGCTATTGTGACACATGTGCTCGCAAACTGTTTCATTCTTCGGAAAATTCTTTCTGAAAATCGATTTTCAAAAAACTTCGCCAGTTTTTCGCCGATATTTTACGGTTTCCAACCGCCCAGTTTACCGCCGGACCGGTCCGGTTACACTTTCAGACCGACTGGACTGCCAAGGTGGTTTGTTACGGTTATCATACACGGGTCGTATACGGCTGTAGACGATTCGAACACGCTGTCTTACGGCCGTAAACGAGTAAATACGGGCCGTTTACGCACTGTATTTTACCGTAAACCAGGCCGGTGTTTTACGACCGTATTTATGCCGTACAATATACGGCGTGTTTATGGCTTAAATAAGATCATCGTATATAGCCGTATATGCACTGTCGATGACCGTAAGCATACCGTATTTCTACCGTATATAGGCGCTTCACACTCTGGAATTATTCGAACGATAGCTTTACTTTCGTCTAATTAATATTAGTTTTACTGTCAGATCACGTAAGAATTCATCAGATCTTATAAGATTATGTGCCTGATCGTGTTCTATAAATTTCCTTTAGACCCTCTTAAAAAAGTATCTTTCTCTATTCATAATATTTTCTGGCATAGGTAGGACACAATCATCGTTAGGATCGTGTTTAGCCACGTTCCTTATAGCCATGCATTTTATTTACGCTCAGCTGATGTTTGAAGACGAAGAAAGAAAAAAATTCTAAGTTTTATTGTAAGAACCAAACTATGTTATATATATACTCAATATCATAGCAAAATTTGTGGTAAGAATGAGTCATCAATTCTTGCATTGGTCTAGTTACATCGCGTATACGGCGGTCAAATACGGCGCATTTACGTAGCACCGTAAACGAACTAGAGGTCTGCCGAACCAAACGTTTTTGGTCCCGGTCTCATGAAGAAAAAAGTCTTGGTCCCGATCCCGTGGAAAGAACTCATTTTTGGTCCTGGTCCCGTGGTCCCGTAAATATTTTTTCAAAATAGCGCCCGTAGTTTGAAAGTCAGCGCGTTGTCATTACAAAGATTTATGTAATACTACTGCAGACACAAGTTCAGAAACATTAACAAAAAAAAAAATATGAAGAGCAGGATGATGATAATAACAAGCAAAAAGATAATGATAGTGATAACGATGAAATGGCAACAACTGCAACACTTGATGATGACCACTTGATGATGACTTTTTTTGATAGATAAAAATGAATAGTATTCAACTATGAACTTTCAACAGTAGACATTTTTCCTTTTCTATTGTTTAAGCTAGAAGAAACTTATAGCTTTAGCTGTGTTTACAAAAATTTGAACTTTGAACAAACTGTGTCAGCGCGACACTAATTCAAGCTAATCTGGAAAATAGCACTATGGGATGAGATTATTAACTGAGGACTTTTCAAATTATGTGTGAATTCTTTCTCGCAGAACTACTGCCTACATACAAACAGGCACAGAAACTAAGAAATTTTTATACTTCATACAAGACTATTTTCAAAAAAACCTGGTCCGGGTCCTATTAAAAGTTGCACGGGACTGGGACCGTCCCACAGACCTCTAGGTTCCGGTCCCGTAAAAAGTCCCGCGGAACCGGGACTGGGACTGTCCCGCAGACTCTAAAACGAGCACCGTATACGGTACCGTATTATATCGTAATTAAGCCGTAATACGGTGCACCGTATACGGTCACCGTTTTCAGGCCCGAAAATCACCGTAATTTCGCCGAATACGTACCGTATTGTTCGACCTGGGTGGTTTACCGTTTCTGAGCCGATTCCAGCTCTGCCACTGTCAGGCACAACTTTGTTATGTGGAAAAACATTATGTATTTTTGACACAAAAGTGTTTCTCTTTTCTCCGAAATTATCGGGTCGTGATCTAGAAAACTAAAACACTTAGTTAAGTTTTGAAACGTAAGTGGTCCTCTCGACACTGAGAATTGACAGTTCAACGTTCTTGTAGAGAGTAATCGTTTCGTTTCTGTTCCAAAGAGGCCAGAAGCAGAAGTAAAATACGTTCTGCCCTTAAAATTCAGAGATTTTTGTTAGACGCAATTTGCGGTGATACAAAGGAAGGATTTTTCCTTTCTCTTTGGAATCTTTTTCTAAATATACGGATATTAAATGTGAAGCCGAAGGGGATGGTCAAAGAAGTCGAGTTCTATTAGGTTTATTTGGAAAAATAACATCGTTCACAGAAGCAGTGTTATTAAACAGTTGTGGAAAAGATATTTTATATAATATTTCAAACTAAGGAGTATATAAATAAAAAAAGGAGTATATAATCGTATTCAATCTAAGCCGATTAAAGGTGCCGATATTTATAAAGTTATGTTGAATGACATTACAGCAGCACAACAAGTGCAAGTATTTTAATAAAATTAATACAATATAGGTTTTAATTTAATTTGATAAAATTAATACAACAAGTTATGATAAATATGCAATGACAATCAGAAGCGGTATATCCACTGTTCTTCCAACCATCATCATGAACATGAATAAATATACCCGTGCTAGTGATATCGCTACGATCGTTTTCGGTTCGTTACTACTTATGCATGAATTAGCTCTTGCTCTAGTACCAGGTCCATCACAAACACCCAGAAATTCACATTTTAAAGCTTTTTATTATTGTGAAGAATTTGATGGTGGGTGTTTTCTGGAACATTTAGTCTGTGAAACTTTTCTTGATAGAAGATCAAGTCAGATGTATCTACTAGATCAAAGTGGAATGAGAACATTCATAAATGATGATTATATTGACAAAATTCATCCAGACAAATCATTTGATTTATTACAAGAATTATCAAAATTAAAAGCTGGCGATTCTATGCCATTATTTAAACTAGAACCCAGTGCTAGCCATGGAAACGATGTTAATGTTGAATAAACTGAAAAGAAAAGTCATGATCAACCTCATTTATCACCATCAGCCCAAAAAGGTCATCCGTCAACAATCAATTAAGTTTAGTTTAAAAGGTTCGTATTTTTTACTGTGATAATGTTATTTAATGTAAATCTAATCTGTGTCGTAGTTGTTCAGATATTTTTCTTGGTCATGTTTCATTTTCTGTACTATTTATTGTAAATGTTTTTTTATTTATCTTTAGAATTAAAAAAGATAGTAGAGTTTTTCTGACTCTTCAAACATTTTTTCTCCTCTGTATGGCAGAGAATTTGCTTGTAGAGTAATAGATTTATACGGACTCTTTTTTATTTCTGTACGGGATTTAACAATTTGAACACTACCGTTCTTCAAAATGAGCACAGCAGTAGGGGAAATAAACGTTTGCGACCAAAAAAAAAAATAATCTCTCATTTCAGACCCACTAATAAAACTGTTTTGACAGTTGTAGGCTTCGTAAGCGTCCTACTATGTCCTTCTTTCTGGGTTTTCTCCTACGTTTTCTACTTTTCTAATTTTGTGTTTTTAATAAATTCACAAGCAAAAAGACATTTTTCTCCTACTTTTCACTAATGAACGAACCTTTTAGTTTTGGGTTTAAAAACTGCACATGACTCAATGCTAGCTAGTCATGTCAAAACTTGCTATAAATTCTTTTCTCCTAACCGTCTAAAAATCATATATAAATCTACTCAGGGTACCTTTCACGAGCTTGTCTAACTTTGTTTTTAAAAAGATCTATTTTAAACGGTTAGGAGAAAAGAATTTATATCAAGTTTTGACATGAGTAGCTAGCATTGAGTCATGTGCAGTTTTTATAAACTCAAAGCTTACACCCGCGTCATGATGCTGAAAACCCAAAAAGAAGATTAATTTATCTAACCTTCATTCCGGATAAAATCATTGCGAATGAATAGAAGAAAATATCTTTCTAAAACTTCTTCAATTCAGTTTCTTCACTCAATAAAAATGTTTGTTTCTGTTATGAAACAATACACTTTGCGCTGTATTCTATCAGACTTGTGTCTGGTGAGAGGAAAGAGAGAACTTCCAAAATTTTGAATATTCATTTTCATTGATCTGTAAACTCATATAGAATTGGAGAGGTTAAAGTAGGTTTTAAAAACTTTGAGAACAAACGGACGAGTGAAAGTGATATCTGCCTTCTTGGGAAGGTTCTAAAGTCAAATAAAATTAATACAACTTCTCTGCGTTAGACGGACACTTGATGAATTCTCTATTTTTAGCACTAATCATTCTCAAACAGTTATAAGTAACTTATATACCAAACTCATTCCATGAAAATATTTTAAACCAATTCCAATGATAATCAGTAGAATGTATAGTACAACAATTCCACTAGCTGCTTTCTTCGAGTATGGTTGAAATAAGATAATCACACAGTCGGACATACAGGCGGACATTTAGCAAAAAATTGAAAGTGTGTGTTTTCAAAATTCAAATAGTGTCAAATATACTTTGATAGATGGGCTATCTAACTGCGTAAAAAAATAATAAAATTGTCGACGAATTCATGCTCCTTATAGGTCCTTGAATTGTAATGAGGCATCCACCAACATCCATCCTCGAATCTAACTCAAAATTATACCAAAATGTTCGCCAACACGTGCTGTCTCTACGGCGAATGTGGTTTTATGCGGTTTTTCTTCTGAATCTAGAAACAGGTTTCCAGAAAACTTTGGATTTTTTAGATAAAATCTACTTTTAGCAGTCCAGAAGCACTGTTATTGAAAACTAATGTGATATTTGGAATCATCACATAAGACTGCATCGATTGATGTATATCCATTTTCTGAATAAAAAGTTTTTCGACAAAAATTTAGGGTAAGGGTCCCCCTCAGGGATTTTTCTTCTGAAAAGTTTTTTTCCAAATTCGGTTTTTTTAATTTATAATAACATTTGAAACGTAATAAAGTAGTATTGAGCAAAAAAGTCTCTTTCTGATCTAAAAGAACCGCATGTCCACCTGGTCTATAGAAAAATGCCCACTGTGAATCATTAACGGCGGTAGAATGAAAAAGAATACATTTGAGATCTTGAACGTAGAAGATGAGAAATAAAAATTAACTACTGGGTTCAATGATAAGTGCCTTTTAATTCTGTCAGACTGCTATTCTCTTCATTTAAAAAAAATAAATAAATAAGGTAAAGCATTCACTAATTTCCAATTAAAAGCATTATCATGTAAAAATAATAGAATCATACAACCCATCTACATACATACACAACCATACACTTGCCAATTTATGTTACTTTTTATTCAGCGCCATTTCATTCTGATAAATAAATTATGATTATTATTTTGTTTACTACTTGCTCAAAGAAACCTACACACTTACGGTATTATAGAATGCAACAATTGATTCAAGTACAATATAATTTGGTTCACACCAGTCAACTTTACTCGAACCAAATACAAATGCACTTTTCGATGATGTTGGTAGTGGAATGTTGTATGCCACTGTGAAGGTTGCAATATTAGCCGGAGTAGCCAATTTGATGGTCTAGAATAGATAGATTGATCTAAAAAATCAATCGAGCAAAAAAGAAAAGCTGAGTGCAAAAGAGGCGATCGACCAGGATAGTGAAGCAAAAGTAACTTCTTTTGGCTGAATATTCGTTATAAGTGGAAAGACAATATAAAATCAAATAAACAATTTTAATTGTAGACAGACATTAGATTTTGGGAAAAAGTCACAGTTTTAAATAAAATTACTAGCTATTTGATGACTTCAACTACAACTGAGCAGTTGTATTCCGCCTGTTCTATATTCCTGTACCGACGATTCATTTCGCCTGTCTTCTTTTTTTATTTCATTAAAATGGAAAACAATCCCGATACTATTCAACCTTATCACAGAGTTGAGAAACTCATGCTCCTTTATAAACGCATTTACTTCCAATTCTTATTTTGTGACACCTTTCTTGCATGTTCAACGAGAGACTTTAAAATATATTTATTCCAAACTGAGGACTGTGAAGTAATTAATGCTTATGAAAATAAAATTATTCGGATTTTATGCTCAAAATACTGTTAGTTTCTAGCGGTATTAAAATCACCCTCATAAATCTAAAATATGTATGCATTCAATTTGAATTGAGACAGAAAGACGTTACAAAGATGTTATTGACATCATGACAAGAGCAATTACATTGTGCGTACAGTTGCGAAGGAAATTTATATTCAAATTCTTACAAATTATGATTCTTCTAAAAAAAGGTACCGTACAATATTTTTGATTGCGAGAGAGGGATTTCTTACGCTTTACCAATCCTGTAGTGTTTGATCGTTCCCGTTCAAGAATGTATTTTTTACAGTTCGAGACCAGTCGCCAATCTACTACACTCCTAGATCAGCACTCGTCAACAATTTGAATACGCCTGCAACGTTGTAACCATAGTTTTCTTCCGTCAAATAGCCGGCAACAGTATCAGTGAAAAACGGAGAAGAAAACTTCATTAGTTTCGACTTTTGTTTGCGCGAACAAGCAATCTCGTCTTGACTAACATAACCAGCCGAATAAATACAAGTACTGAATCGACAAAATTTGTTTAGACAATTTTAATCGGTTGTGGTAGCTTTAGTCTGAGTATCATTTTTGAACAACAGCTGCTTGACTTGAACAATTGAACTCAATAATTGTAATTTTCATAACAACATTGGCTAATAAAAAAGTGTACAGGATTTGAGGAGAAGCCTCCTTCTTTCGAATTCAGAAAAAGAAGTTTTGGCATAGGAATGAGCATTGCATACTATGTTTCAAATTTTCTAATTTCTGCATTGATGATGCGCACACGTGCTAAAGTGACACCACTAAAATTACTTTTTGTGCAGTCATTATTTTCGGTAGGCGTTTTTTCTAGTTATGTGACGTTTGCCATCAGGAGTGCATACTGTGAGACTATTTCACATCCTAGCACCCCTTCATCAATTATCTCAATTCAAATTGAATACATACATATTTTAGATCTCTTCATTTGTGTTGCGATAAGAGATACTAGATACATTTCAGACAGAACACAGCTGCTATACTCAGCAGAATAAATAAAGCAACAGATTTTTAAAGTACCAGATAACGGACAGCGTATAACCTTCGTCTGAACGATGAAATTCATTCATATAATTTCATGCTCTTCTATAGATGATTATGCCATCATTACTTCTGAAAAGATACCATCGAACACTATTTTGTCTTGAGAATATTGTTAATAATAATAGTAGATCAATTATAAACAAAGCCCATTTACTCTCTACTTCGCTCACAAAAATTTTTTTAGTAAAAGTAACGAAGTACGCGGTAAATCAAATTATCGAAATATGAATGAAATTCACTTTGAAGACATTTTTGCTTTTTGTTTCGTTCTTCGCCAGGCTCTATTTATTACTGACGATATTTGTTTTTGCGTAATATGGAATGTTTGAACTGATTCGGGTTTTTTTGGAAGAATGTCAGAGAGTGATCTTAAACGTTTTACATCGGAAAAACGAAAGAAAACATCAGACAATGATGAAGGGTTAGAACCACTAAGGGAAATGTCGAAAACAACTATATCAGGCGGACAACAAGTATATCAGGCTCGGCAACCACAAAGTCCCGAAGATGATCAACAAAAACAACCGAAGCGACAGTTCGATGTAATAGCAATTGGCAGCGGACCAGGAGGTAAAACAGATTAAACGTAAAGGTATTGTGACAAAGTTTTGATTCTATTTACTTTCTCGTTTCTATGTCGTAGGCTACACGGCAGCTATTCGATGTGCTCAGTTAGGAATGTCTGTGGCTATTGTCGAACGAGATCTGATTGGAGGACACGCCGTTAATTGGGGGTGAGTTTTGAAAGAAAATGTGGACGAACATTTGATACAGTTATAAACTGTTGCACATTTTCAGTTGTGTTCCGTTGAATGCCATGATTGCATCTGCTCGGATTGTTCGTACCGTAAGAGAATCAAATCTTTACGCTATCGATATTCCAGCTCATCGTATTGAGTTTCCACGTATTGCTAGAAGACGAGATGAAGCTGTGAAAAACGTTCGGCAACAAGTAAAAAGTTTTCTTCAAAAGTACAATATTCAAGTTTATATTGGCATAGCTGAATTACTCGATGAACATCGGATTATGGTGAGATCAGTTAAAAAATATCCGTATGCAAATGTGTACGATAGTGAAGGCAGATCACCATATGAGACTGATAATTTTTTACCTGTACAAAATAATACGGTGATCTATGGTAAAAATATTGTGATTAGTACTGGTGTTGATTATGAATTTCCAAAATTTGTTGAAACAAATGATAAAAAATCAGTTGATACAACACATTTATTATGGAACAGAACGGTTCCTGAAACATTGACGATAATTGGTGGAGGGGTGTTAGGATGTGAAATAGCCTCACTGTATTCACTTTTGATGTCAAAAGTCACATTATTAGAAAAAAATTCACGTCTACTAAAAATAATGGATGAAAGTGTATCGCTAGCTGTTGAATCACGCCTAAAAGAGTTTGGTGTTAAAGTACTTTTGAATGTTGATGTTGAAAAAGTGTCGAAAGGTGAGGTTTTTTATCGTAATAAACAATTGGATACTACTCAAACATTGACAGCGCATCGAGTTGTTATATGTACTGGCCGAAAACCTTCGTTTGATTATGATCTATTGAAAAAAATTGGTATTGCAGTTGATAAGGAAAATTCTAGAATAGTCGTTGAAGAAGATACATGTCGAACAACAAAACAAAATATTTATGCTTGCGGCAGTGTTGTGAGTTCATGTTGGTCTTGGATACCGTGCGCAATAAGACAGGGGCATTTAGTAGCCAACGCAATTTGTAAGAATAGAATCATTGAATATGATAGAGAAAGCCAGTTTCAAATATCAATTAATTCAGCGGCGCCCTACGTCATCAACGTAATACCGGCCGTAGCTGGTGTTGGTTCCGTTCCTGAGTTTGAGGACGATTGTCTCGTATTCACTTTTGATTTTAAATCCAATCGACGAGCTATTATAGGTACGTACCAAACGCAAAAATATATATTTTACGTTTGAGATTCTTTCTTCTGCAGACGGTCAATTATGGGGCTTTGTCAAAATGTGGGTTTCTAAAGATGAACCAAAAAAACTGTTTGCTGTTCAACTAGTACATGAATCAGCTGCAGAAATTATCGAATATTATGGTATGATTATCTCGTTGAATTTATCGTTACATGATGTTTGTTTACTACCATTCGCACATCCAACCTATTCTGAATCAGTTAAACAAGCCTGTGAATATGTTCTTGGGCGATCGATTGAATATGAGGGAGCATACTTGAACTAAGAAAAAGGAAACTTATTGTTGTCTGATGTCTATGTATGTTTACACATAGTATAGGAACACCCTCAGTGAACAAAAACGCTCAAAGATACACTTTTTTCAGTATCTACAATACAATTTTTCACAGAAAATCTCCATCCATTCTACATTCCATTTATAGGTTACACATTTTTTCAATTTGAATATTTCGTAGAAGTGAGATAAGAGTTCCATACAGGTATCCCAGTGAAAGTCGTTAACATTTGATTTGAAAGAAAAAAAAACACTCTACAATATATTGAAAAAATGTACAACTTATAAATGAAACGTAGAAGGGACAACCACTTTCAGTCGATACCATTCTTGTGCAGATTTCTAGACGTTCAAAAGCCTCGCGCGCTTTTGCAAGTGGATCGAATATACAATTTTTTGTTGTGCCTTATAATTTATTACGAGATAGAGAGACAGATAGAGATAAAGATACAGTAATATTTCCTAATTTTTGTGGGTACACGGTTTTTTTTCACGCAAATAACAATAAACAGAACAGAGAACAAGAACAATAATAAAATAAAAATTAAGAAAAAAACAGAATGACAAAAAACTGTTTAGAAAACAGCTGAACAACAACAGTTGATGTGCGTGTGTGTGTGTGTAGTCAAATAAATATTTCCTAAGTCAGAGCTCTATCTCCCTTCCTAGTTTTCATTGACCACAAACGCACACTCACACATACATAAGTCGAAAAAGAAAGGAAATAGATGGATGATTACTAACAAACAAAAACAACAGCAACAATGAAAGAACAAAAGAACAACAACGAATAAAACAAACAACCGACTGTAGTTGATGACAGAGACAGAGGAGAATACGAATATACCATGCTCACTCTCGCTTTGAAATAAAAAAGACAACGTAAGCCTCCCTTTTCCCATAATAAATTGATGCTCCACAAGACAAAAAATTTTCAGATTTTTAAGCAAAAAAAGATCGTTAGGCGGATGTTTTTATTGTTTTTTTTTCAAGTATGTTACACATATAAATGAATGAGAACATTTCAAATTAAATCTGCAACATTCATCGGCATTTCTTCAACTTGTGTATTGTAAAATTGTTCGATGTCACGAAGTGTACGACGATCTTCATCAGTAACAAAATTAATTGCAACACCTTTTCGTCCAAAACGTCCACCACGGCCGATACTACAATGAAACAAGTTCATATTTTTAGAAAAGTTCAGAGGAGGTCTGCAGCTAGACAGCCGATCTGAAAATATAGCCCTTCAGTTCCAATGCTAAGTGATTACTAAAAAATGAGAGCGTAATGCATTTCTCATATTCTACGTATAGATAATCGCTGCATGAGCGGAAACGAACCATATCCAAACTGGCTTATTCATATGATTTGTAAAAGTACAATTTAAACGTACCGATGGATATAGTTTTCACGATTATTTGGCAAATCATAATTGATAACCAATGAAACTTGCTGTACATCAATACCACGTGCTAGTAAATCTGTTGTTATTAAAACACGACTAGAACCGGTTCGAAATTCTTTCATGATAACATCTCGTTCTTTTTGATCCATATCACCGTGCTAAATAAACAACAACAAAAAAGTTGTCTTAGACTATTCAAGTTATTCCAAACTTTTCTGCGAGAAGAATCGAGCAGATTCTAAGGTACACTGCTTTTAACAAGATAAGTAGCGAGAGTCTCTTATTTTAACTGTTTCCCACAGATTTTAGCGAGACTTATATGTATTCGTTACACGTCACCTCATCAAAACTCATTTCTATGAACAGGAACTTATAGTCAAATAACACAGATACTAAGAGGATATATAAAACGTTGTTTTTATTTATCGATCAGTTATATGTATTTAAATAAATAATAACGGCGTCTAGTACATCTAATTAACTAATTAATTTACAGTTTTGTATTCGACAATATTAACAATGAAAACTTTTCTTTCTAATGTATGGTTAACTTACCATTGCTGACACAGTGAAATCGCGACTACGCATTTTTTCTGTTAACCAATCAACTTTTCGCCGAGTATTACAAAAGATGACTGCTTGTGTAATTGTTAGTGTTTCATAAAGATCACACAATGTATCTAATTTCCAATCCTTTAAAAGTATACAAAAGAAATAATCATTTGTTGATTGTTTGTCAAATATACAAAGGACTTACTTCTCGTTCAACAGTTACATAAAATTGTCGAATACCTTCGAGTGTGAGTTCTTCTTTTTTCACAAGAATTTTGATTGGATCATTCATGAATTTGGTTGTCACATCTAATACATCACTAGGCATTGTGGCAGATAGCAGAATGACCTAGAACAACAATACAAACTGCATAATGGAAGAAAAATTTTGTTCTAAACAAACCTGAATATTTTGAGGCATTGTTGTAAAAACATCATAAATTTGCTCTTTAAAACCACGCGACAACATTTCATCAGCTTCGTCCAATACGAACATTTTGATATTTTTATTACCTATATAGAAAAGAAATACGTTGCATAAACAGAGATGGGTGTTCAGAAAACTTACGAAGCGCTTGACGATTTAACATATCGAATACACGTCCGGGCGTTCCAACAACAATCTGAACGCCTTGTTCAAGACGTTTGATATCATCACGAACATTTGTACCACCAATACAAGCATGACACGATGCATTCATATAATCACCTAATGCCAATACAACTTTTTGGATCTAGACATAGAAAAGATTAAAAAACCAATATTACAGCGTCGAGAAATAGTTCTACGGCAGTTTTGCCTAAGTAGCATTTGGCATTGAGAAAACTACTGCAAAAGCGAGTAACATACTTGCTGAGCTAACTCTCTTGTTGGAGCCAGAATAAGTGCTTGACATTCTTTGAAATCAAGATCTAATTGTTGAAGAATAGAGATGGCAAACGTAGCGGTTTTTCCAGTTCCAGATTGCGCTTGTGCAATAACATCTCTGCCTAAGCGATTCAAAGAAAAGCGAAGCATGTAAAGAGAGATATTACTCAAATAATCACAGACAAATCATCTAACCTAATATGCACGGTTTAATGGCACGTTGTTGAATAGCAGATGGTCGTTCAAAACCATAACCATAAATACCACGTAAAAGTGGTTCTCGTAAATTCATCTGATCGAATTGCTCGACCACTTCTGTCCAATTACTTTCGATGACCCCATCTATATAATAAAAAAATAATAACTTCACATTCTTAACATATCGCAAACGCTTCTTACCGGGTTCCATCGATTGAACCCCTGAATTTTGGTTGGTCTTGGTCTCATTTCTAGTGAAAAATAAATAAATTATTACCACGCTATGAAAATAAACACATTTAGTACTTCTCTCTAGACATTTTGGTTTAATGAATACATAATAACGGTAAAGAAGAATGTGTATAGTTTTGTAGATTTTGTAAAGTACAGACAGAAAGAGTGGAAAGCATAAAACGTCCTAAAATTCACCGTCAAAGAGGAGAAAGAATTACTATGGACTATTTGACAGATCCAATATTAGGGAGAATCGATTTTAAATTAGATAATAACACTTACAAATTAGATCTAGGTGTTTGTGCCAAGTTTTCTGTATTTTTTAAAACGTTTTTTAACATTATATGTTTAAATCTGAAACGGTAATGCACTATGTGGCAAGACTGAATAGGATGACAGCTGGTAGCATAGCAATATATAACGATAGAATGTTGTACATGGCGGAAAGATCCCGCATTTATTTATTTGTCTAAATAGTTTTTCTTCCATGGCTAAAACAAATAAAGTACAATATATTCGCAGTTTGATTTAGCGATCAGTTTTATTCAGTAGACGTCACTCTTGTCTTAAAATTTTCTTTCTTGACCGCTGCACGTACCTTCAAAACTTCAAACTAGTTTCCACACGCACTCCGTAAGAATTCCGGATCCGCCTATGCATACTGGAAATTAAAGACGAGAATAGGGTAGTAGTATTACACTTTTAAGATAGATAAACTGGAATCACGCATGAATATCCTCTATGTACAAGTAAGAATACAAGAGAGGCTATATTTATTTCTAGTACTCACTGGAGTAATTGCGTAATTACTTTGAAGTACTTCGATTTGTGGATAATTGCTCATCATGTGAGTCATGTTAAAGGTTAAACTCTTTATCTACAAGTCGATTTATCCTTTTTAGTGGGAATCTCATATTGAAGATGAAAATTTTACTTAAAGGATTTGAACGATACAATGAAAGTTATAGAAACTTCATTATCTTGACTCTAATTTTATGTTTAAATTTGATTTCAAAGCAGAAATTAAACCACCAGATACTGTGACTATAGTAATGGCAAGTGCTGTCATCTGTTTCTGCAAAAAAGTAGTACATTCTAGTGAATGGATGAATTATTTTGCTTCATTCTTCTTCTGTCTTACAAAATTGCACTGTCTTAGTGTCCATCATAAATCGTAGTCATCTTTGAGAATGTATAGTTTGCTTGGTTATGAGCACATTGTGAAGATTTATTTACTTATAGATACCGGTTTCTTGTTTTTTCTTTCTTATCTTAGCTAGCTTTGCAACCAGACCAAGAATATAATAAGAGTATATCAAGAAAATCTGTTACTGTATCTGCACAGGCAACATTGTATTCTCTCTCGCATGATTTAATAGACGTTATCCTATAGAACCAGCAATAGTCGACCGCTGCTTGTAATAGGTTCTTAGTTATTACTGTTTCATCTATTTTTAATCAGTTTTTATCTGTTTGTTTGTGAACTTGTCGCTGTCCATATTAGTTAAACCAAGATAGAAAAAAATGCCTATTAGAAAAATAAAAGAGCCAGCTGCATCGCGTCATGGTGCGGGAAAAATAAGAGGTTAAAAATCACTGGCGCAGGCGACCAGTTCCGTCAAATTCTTAAAGCCTTTTCTGTGATAGTACTGAAATTTCTTTAATAAACCAAGTTTTTCATTTTCAAAGAAAAATTTTCAAAAATACACATCTGAGTTATGGTCTCAAATATTTGTGGTAAAAATTTCAGCCCGATAGAATGAGCTTTATGGGGGGGTCTTAAGGTAACACAATGACTGAGTGTTTTTTTAGAAAACTCGATAATAATAAGAACTAGAGAAATAAACAAGATAATAATACAGAGAAAAGTTTCTGAACTATCCCAAAGATATACATTGTTAATAATTTTTTGTTTAATTTTTTACAGTACTTCCAAGAAGAGTATTCTCTTTTACAGTACTCTCAATAAATTGAGAGGTATCCTTAAATCCTCTTTTAAAACACAATTTTTCATTTTCATTTTAAAATTATCATCTTACATACAGTGAGATTTTAACATCTCTGATAAATCAGCTGACTGTAGATCATTTATCTGGTGTCAGTTGATGTCCATTTCGAAAGTAGTATTGTATCTTACAGAGAACAAATAAAATTTGAATATTACTTAGTTTTGTTTTTCAAAATAAGAGCTGTAAAATATTAAAATAAAAGTCGATCAAAGCAAAAACAATGGAAAAAAGGTCATATATTAAACTTCGAAGGCTATGCACCTTATTTTTTATGCATCAACACGTGTGAAATTATGATCATTTTATTTGTATGTACGCGTAAAGCGTAAAACTAAATCATAAAATTTAGTTGAACATCTTCACGCGGAAGGATTTCCCATAATCATGAGTAAATCCAAGTGGAAAAATAATTCCCGGATCTGAATGTGCTGTTGTCCTCTTAGACTAGTGTGAGAGAACGATTTTGTGACAGATGTACATTTTTCGTCGTAGAATATCGCGTTTTCTGATTCTTCGAAAGTGAATCTTACGCGTAAAATGTTGTGAAAAAAAATAAAGACGACTAGTGTTTAACACTAGAACGCCTGTAATGGTCATTTTGACCGTTTTTTGATTTTTATCCCTAATAAAACAAACTGCATACAATTTATTTAAAAATAAATTATGTCATAACTTTTAATTTGTCCCGCAAAAATTATTTTTTGCAGAATTTTTAATTCATTTTTGAATTCAGAATCATGTTCAATTATAAAATTTAAAAAAAAAGCAGTAATGGTCAAAATGACCGCTTTGGGCGTTTTTAGTCATGAAAATTTCCGGGTGTTCTCGTGTTAAGCCAAATTATAAGTGACTAACCTCAGAATTTTCACGTATTTATCGTAAACCTAACACCGATTATGCATATCATAGTTTTTTTCTTATATTACAAAAATTCACTCGTGAAAACTTTCGTTCTAATTACATCTGAAAAATTCCAAAAATTTCACATGTGAAAATTTTATTATGCATGATTATGCATAAAATTGTTATGCCGAATTCTCCACAACTACAAAAAAAATAACGAGAGACATAATCACGTTTAGTTTAATGGCATTTTATGCGCGATTATACTCAAAATGAATAAATTTTGTTCATGAATGAAGATACGAAAAATATATATAAAAATAAATGCGTTAATTTTTATGAACATCACTGTATTTTTCAAATCATTTTTTAAAAGGTTTAAACTTCTGTAGTTCTTGGTTCGTACGCGGATGCTCTTTTATTAAAATACAATATTCTATTTGATGAATAACCATCATCTGGAACATTCATGATATTTGACGTCGAAGAATGCAAACATCTCAACGATGTTGAACCGCCTAATTGTGAAACAGTAATAGAATTTCGATTATTATTCGCAATATGATTCACATGTTCAAAATTCACAGGTCCACTAATAGCCGATTTTTTTACTAGGCGTGTTTTTGATAAGCTTCGGCATCGTCTTAATTCATTATTTTGACCGTTATTTTTGGTTGCAATAACTTTTTGCTCGAATATGGACGTTTTTGGTTCGATTGATCTTACTGTTGATCTGATTTTCGAGTATCGTCTTGGTGTTTTTTCGCGATCATCTGCTGATGGTGATAATCGATTGTTTTCATTCATCATACATTTTCGTTCACATTCAAGTATTTCAAAATATTGTCGAAAAAATAGGCGACACGCATCATTTTTATCAAATTTCAAAACTGCTAACATGTTTTGTTGCGGGAGCCAACAACTGACAAAACCCTCTTTGGGTAAACGTATTTCCGACTGTTGACTAATAAGACATGTCCATACCGCAAAACAACTTCCATTTTCAACGAGTATGATTTTTATTTCTCTTAAACGTTTTAGATTTGCTCCTGTGTTATAAATCAACACTGGTATCCCACGTTGTTGACTTGACCAATCTTCAAAATTGGCCATTTGTTTTGTTGTTGTTGTATAGAGATGTGCCATTGATCGACCTGCTTTTACCAAAGTTCCCACGCTCCCGTAGAAAAGTTCAATTTTTTTCACATCAATTTCTACATCTGAATAAAGATTTCGTGATTCGGGACGCGATAGTATTGAATACAAAGAATCGGGAATGAAAGTAGAAGATGATGTGGATATAGTTCGAGAAATGCGATTGCAGATTGATGAATGTCGCCGAGGTACGGTTGGTGGTTGAATGGGAAGTGGTGGTTTCGAACGATAGACAACGGGTGTTGAACAAGTTGTTAAGTTATTATCTGGATATAACGGTGGTTTTCGATTAATTGTATTGCAATAAGATACATGTCCATATCGTTTATCGTCGTTTCCTTGCAATTTATCTGTGTCTAACAAATATTGTTCATTTTTAATGGATTCATGCTGTTTTTCATTTATGAGTTCGATATGTGCTCGAGATTTTGATCTATTGATTAATGGCTGAACGACAACAACTGTTTTATCTTCATATCGTTGACGAAGATCGTTTACATTAAATGTTGATTTCGGTTGATAGTAACGATTTATAGGGGGATAATGATTTGTTTGATCTACAGAAACAGGAATTGATTCACTACTATTATTATTATTATTATTATTATTATACTGAGTCGGATAGAATTGTTGTTTTGAATAAAAATAAGAGTTTGTATATGGATTTTCGAACGTGCTGGTTATAGTTGGACGTACAGTTTGTTGAGGTGAAGAATCTAACGACCATCGGTTTTGAAGACGGTATTGTTTTTGTTGCGACGATGGATATGAATGAAAAGTTGTTGGATTATTCATAGAACTACGAAAATCTAAAACTGAAAATGAAAAAAGAGCACAGGTACAGATTTTAGTATTAGGTAAATTAGAATCTATCCGACTTTGTCGTTGCATAGTAATATAACATGTTGTAATTGCCATCACTACTGTTTTACCAACTCCCAATAGTGTTCTCTAGCTAACGATAATGTTTATACACATATACTGGTCACCTATACACAAAGGCTTTTGTTCTTCAGTTAATATGTTATATATATTACAAAAAGTCTTAAGACATTTACAGAATGTATACAAGTAAAAATTATATGGTTACGTTGTATATCTCAATGTGGACATAATATGAATAAACGTTATTATTATAATGTGTTCAACCAGAATATTTCTTTTGACTAGAGAGATAATCAATCGTCGTTGCTTTCTTCGTAAAAGAAAATTACGGAATTATACATACATCTCTGTTTCTGAATAGTTCTTTTCCTTTCGCGTATATTAGATATGCACACAAAAGAAAGCTTGAGCGTGAACGTATTTATCATCATACATGAAGTCGTTAAAGCAAATATGTTTATTCCATACAGTTTTTTTTTTTTTTTGCTTTGCTCAATCATTTTTTTCTTCATTCAATGTTAAGTTATTGTTATATGACGAACTAATTTATCAGAACGAATTGCATGACAGATTTAATGATTGCTGTCCTATGTATTATTTTGTTCGATATTTAAATTAGCAAGAGTTGTTTCTTTTTTCCCTATGTATAATCAAGGTAATATTTACTATTAAACAAACAATAAACAAAATCGACAGGCATTCGCTATTGCAATAACAAATTAAATTGTATTTCACAATGTCGGATATAACTTTTTAAAAACGAATTTTTCTGCCATAGGATAGATGTAAAACTTAAAATCTATGTAATTATTATAATTTATTATGTATACTGAACCTTGAAGTTTTGTATTTGCTTGAACAGAGTATAGAAAACAAAGAAAATCTGTACAAAATAGTTTTTGTCCAATACTTATTGTTGTTAAAGCTTTATAACTCTCTCATTGTATCTTTTGTTTCATTTCATTGTTTTACTCAAAACTACAGTAGATAACTAAACATCTCAAAATCACGGCAAGAAGTGACTTAGTAGGTTTTTTTTGCTCAAAAATAGAATATTGATACTGCTATCCTAATAAGAAAAATGTTCGAAAACAATTGTATTATAAAAACTGTATATAGTAGAGTGATAATTAGTTTAAATATATTCACACGTTATCAGAATTGTCTTGATAATAGAAAGCATTAATAAAAACTGTCAAATCAGAAATAAAAGTTTGCAAGTGTTAATTGTCAATGGAAAGAAAAAATTGTTGCTTTCATCCATCTCTTTATTGTATTACGCAATCTCTATTCAACAAATATCCGACTAATTGCTAAGTTTAAAACTGTGCAAATAATATAGAAAAACATCCAGTATCATTTTTCAAAAATTCGATCTAAAAGTTTGAAGAAGCAATGGAAATTTTGAGAAAATCATGCTCACTATAGAAATGGTAGGTACGTTCATCTCGTATATGATATGATACACAAGAGAGAATTTATCCAAAAAAGGAGAAGAATGTTTCCAGATCTGAACAAAAAACGAAGATTTACATTTTAAGTGTAAGACCACATAAGGAGAATCATAGATGGTTTTGAGAGAAAGAAACAACACATACGGGAAGAAAGTGATCCTATATACGTAGTTATAAAATTAAAAAAAATTCAAGCACGTAAGAAGAGAAGGGAGATACCGAACAAGTAATCTTTTCTTCTATTTAGTAAATTTTAAAATTTTCTTAATCGACTGGATAATAGAGAAAGATTATGATGGCTTCACTGACTTCTACCTTGTCGTTTTAACAATGTTTTTTTAGTTCGTATTAACCTTGTTCACACTCTAAAATCTATTGAAAAAATTACCATTTAGTTCATCGAGCAATATTCGTGGAAATATTGAATGGATGAGATGCACTTGTATATTTATTTATGCAAACATATTAGAAATTTTGTCATTCAACTGTATAATTAAAATATAAAAAAAAAAGAGAAAAAGAACTAACGGCGTTAACGTTAGCGTTTATATTATTCCAAAAAGAAAAAAAAATTGATTCCCTAGTTGGAACTTTTTCCTATTCTTTTTCGTTATCCGCCTCACTGTCTGGTACGTCCGATTCTGACCCGTCATAAAAAAGGTGACTTTCAATTCGAAACTTTTTTTCTCATTCATTTTTACGCAACACACTTCTATGTATTTTTAGCAATATAATGCACACACACACACACACGTAGAAAAAGAGAAAGAGAGAGAATTCTACTATTATAAACAGGTCGTGTACTGTATTAGATAGTTCTCTCTCTCCATATATATATACATGGTCAATATCCTCGAAGCGAGAGAAGAAAAAATTTCGATTATTACTCTATAAAATAAACGATTCCAAGATCTTTTTGTCTCGTTCCTTTCTGTTTTCTTTTCTGACACCGTTCATAAATAGATTTTTTTGCTTCCTTAATAGTCGATAATTCTACTGATAGCATATAGAGATAGATGCTTATAAAGTCAAATTTGACATCACATTCACGAAGAAACACGAAAATTACATTACTTAATAAAAGAACGGAACCTTATAAAAACAGAAGTTGTTTATAATTGAGAAATAAACTTGAGTAGGTCGTCGATAGATCTTTTCTATTTAAAAGCGTTTTATATATCTGCCTGAGCTTGTTTAGTACTAACTTTTCTAGTAAAAAATATCACAAATTCTTATGAACAGAAATTTTATGTTTTTGAGTGAAAATTCTTTATACATTTTCTTATCGTATATTACACCCACAGACATCACATATACAATTGTAGACTCATCCTTGAACAGCTATGTCTAAGAAAGAAAATTTTTTTTGAAGTTATGTATAAAATAAGAGTGTGAAACAAAACGGTGATTCAAGAATTTCCAAGGTCTTGATACAAGAAGTTTCATTAGGGTTTACATCTTTACAACTAATTGAGTGCGAGAAAAGAGTAAAAAGAAAGAGAAATAGTACACTAAATACCTTGTCATTTAAATTGTAATTATAATATCTGTCATTTCGTTTATCAATTTGAAAGAAACTGTTCTTACTTAGCACACATAGTACTTGACTTACTGCATGCGTCAGTCGACGTGAATTCTATTTTATGGCTTCAACATAAGAGCACAATAAGCGAGTTCATTATTATCAAAATGTTATCTTATAACAATAGTGTACAATTAGCCGGGTTAACCTTTACTAATGAACCACCGAATATCTCATATATATATTGAAAGAAAAAGAATCCACTGCTAATTGGCTATGCATGATTAAAGAATTGCAATTTTAGGAATAATGAAAAACAACGTTGTATGATCACAAACATTCACCAACATAAGAAAAGACTAAAGAATTTTTCCTGTTACTTTCTTCCTTTTCTTACTTCCACTGGAATTTGTTCTATCTCTTTGTTACAGATGTTGAATAAATAAGTTGAGCGTTGTTCTGGTATTTTTGTGAGAACTCAAACAGTTGACATAAATTTCAGAAGTAGACCTTAACTTAGGTTGGTCTTTAACAACAGCAAAGACTGTTTACATATGTGTACAAGTGATATTTATCGAACGAAAGAAGACCTGAATAATGACGAAAAATATCAGTTTAGTACAGCAACACAAAGAACATTTAACACCGCAAGGGTGAACGTCTGCCATGTCGAGAAGAAGGAAAAGGCATCAGTCGAACACCTAATATCGGTGAACGAAGAACCAGTGAGTAACCATCCGTAGATTATAGTAGCAAATTATCTTATGGTAAGTCTTTTATCCGTCTTCGCTCTTTATGTACAATGAATTCACTTTCTTTTTGTTTTTTCTCTCTGGCAACTAAATACTTTTTTCTAAGAGCGAAAAAAACATAGAATATGCTAAAGCAATATCATCTTTGCCGCTTCACCATTCTATTCATTAACAGATGCCACTTAACTTGTGATGCAAAACATCTATAATCAAGGAGTAGCGTCAGTCCAATGCTACAATAAGTGTGTTTTTTATCTCATCTTTTGTGTATGCATGTGACAATAATTTTAAAGTCTATCGTAACTAGTGTTCGACAATACTAATACAAGTAATTATTATAATAAAGTTCATTTTATTGTTATCCGAATCATAGAATAACGTTCATCACGATCTATTCGCTAGGATAAGTTGAAAGGTGATTGAAAAATTATCTCAAAATTTTTGTCGTGATTATGTGATGATATCTTTTTTCAAAGTACTTAGTGACAGAACTCGATTCATATTTTTATTGCAAATGAAACGTTGCTTCGTTGCGATACTTATTAAGATTTTCTTCTATCAAAATATATATCAATTAACGAAGAAAGAAAAAATGTATTTGTCGTTTTTGGTTATCGATGACATGCGCTTGTCTCGCTCGCATTAAGCTGGATTTTATTAGGTTCTTACCTACATATTAAACAATTCTTAATTGATTCTTATCCATAAATGGTTCCTTCTTTATTTCGTGCATTTTTCAAACATGGGTTTTAAATGATGTTCCTTAAACTTGTAAGGTCACCGCCCATTATTTTCTTATATGACAGTTATAACCATTAGACATACAATCGTATATGGTTATAGGTTCAAACTTGAACAGCTTTGCTCAAGAAAAACATTTCGAAGTTATTCTGAGTATAAAATATTTCCGCCATCTCGATTGAGAACAGCTTAAAACTGTACTTTCTCGAAGGAGAACAATTAGCCACTTTAGTGGATGCTAATACGTAGTGGTATGTATGATTATAAAGAATATACATAAACTACATATTCAAGCTTCTTTATCTAAAACTTCGTTCTTTAAAAGATTAACTGACAATCTGTGCAAGATTCTATAACACGATCTTCTAGCAATATTAAAATACTCCGGAAAATCAACATCGAATGCAAGAAAACGTTGTCCATCAAGTGTTATTTGAAGAT